TATATATATATGGGGAACCCCTCTCTCTCTCTCTCTCTCTCTCTCTATATATATATATATATATAGGTTCCCCAGAATATAGGGAGATCTAAATACAGTGCTGGGGCCGTCTGCTGAAGATTCACATTTTCAGCAGCGGTTGAGATCAGATAGTGACTGATTCAGGTTTTTTTCCAACACTAATTGCCTCTGTGAACCAGACCTTCCGCCTGTCGTTCAGCAAAGAAGCCCCCTCGTTTTGCATTCTCCCAGACACAAAAAGACAGCGAGGCACAAATTAATGCAGAAGTGCGCACAGGAAGAAAACGAAAACAGCTTCCAGACATTTGTTAGGCAGCTGACATCACTCACAAAATCCGCACCTCAGCCCCCCGCAGGGAAAAAATCCGCTTTTCTCTGGAATGCTGGGCAGTGTTGGGTGAGGGGTACAAACGGAGGCTTCGGTCTTGCAGCCGTGCAAAATCAAGGCTGAGCTAGACGCCATGCATTTCCCCCCTCCTGGCAAATAATTGTTTTGGTGAACAGCAACCTTGCATGCATGCTACGAGGTGGAACAGAAAGCGGATATGGGTGATTTGCCATTTTTCCTTCCAGCAGGCCAAAATCACCTCTTCCCCTTGGAAGATACACAAGGGGAGCAATTTGGAAGTGACAATTTTGAGAAAATGGTGGGGGTGGGGGAAGGACTGGAGAAAGAGGCTTGTTCTTGCATCTCTGATTGTTCTGAAGGACCGCAGCTCCGTGGAGAACCAGACTGTCAATCCAGCCTCACCCTTCTCCAGAGACACCCTGTTTCAGTTCCCTCCTCCTTTCATTCCAAAGCTGCTGAGGAACAGGTGAACGTATACCCAACGTCGAGAGGAGCCATTCAACGGTCTGGACTTTCTTAAATCCACCCAGAAGTCAGCCAACAGCTGATGGTGGATGACACGGGAACCCAAAATCCCTCGTCATGCCTGAGCACCAGAAGACAACCTGACAATGCAGCCATTCTAACTTTACTAATTGTCTTGCGGAAAGGCCACAGTATTCAGGGATGAGCCACAGAACTAATTATGTCTTCAGCATGGGCTCCGTACACCCTTCCTGCCGATCCCACCCCAAATCCTTTGGGGATGAGGGAGCAGAATGACAACTCAGTCACCCTAGATGGGTGTCAAAGGCTCTTGTGTAAAAGCTGCTAAAAATTGGAGACAGAATCACGCAGGCCGGCCTGCGAGGAGGGTCCCCTGCTTGCTCCAGGGGTCTCCTGAGACAGCGAAAAACCAAGCAAGGGGGCATGCAGAGGGAGGGAAAAGCTGCCTTCACATCTGAAGTGCAGGAAAGCAAGCACGCCAGTGGACAGCTGTTTTCAAAAGCCAAGCTCAAGAAGATGATTCAAAAGCCCACTGGGACGTGTGTTCCTAGCTCAATGTGTTGTCATCTGTTGCTCTCACTGGCTGGATCTGGTCTCAGGCGAGAGAGCAGCTGAGGGGAGTGACAAGAAGTAAGCAAAGATGCTTGTTCTCCACCCAAGATCGTCCTTTGCACACGCAGAGGTCCTTTGCACACGCAGCCAGCATGTGCAAAGAGCTACAGGGGACTCACTATCAGCCTTAGGAGAGGAACTTCTCTACAACCAGGCAGTGGGGAAAAAAAAAAAAACCACTGAAAACCAGTGGGTGGGGGAGAAACTTGACCTGGACTGGAACATCTCCATGGGTGTAGCTTTTCAGAGGTACAGAACACCTCTGCATTGGTTGCCTATTAAGAAGTCATACTCTTGTCAAGACCGATGGACTTCTGGCCATCAGCTGGGCCTCCAAAGAACAAGAAGGAAGTGATTTGAAAAGCATCTTCCTATTCACAGCAGCCCATTCCATAGAACAGGGATGGGCATAGTCTGGACCGTGTGGCCCAACAGTGTGAGAGTTGGCGATCTGGCTGGATCTTTTAGTGGTGACTATACATGACACAGGAAGGAGGCCCCTAGTCCTTTGGGGCCAAGAAGGACATTTGCTAGGAGGCTTATCCCATAACATAGGTGAGGCCAAGATACCAGTGAATTTGCCTTAAAATAGAAGTAAATCTATTCAACGCAGTTCATATGATTTTCTCCTGATGCTACGCTAAAGGCTACAACGGAACTTCCGGTCAACACGGCTCTCCTTTTACCAACCTTGGGGCCCGACTCACCTCCTCTTTTCGAAGAGGATTTGGAAGACGTTGACCACTGCTTAGTCAGCGCTCGCCCTGGCAAAGGTTCGTCAATATTGCTAGCAGCATCCACCATCTCGGTGGATGGAGATATGGCCTTGGTTTCCACATTGCGCTCGTTCAGGGGGTCTTGGGGAAGGTGCGGTTCTGGCTCAGGCTCGCTGAAGCTGAACTGGGCCATCTTCTGGGCCAGCATCAACTGGGCCTCCTTCTCCAGCTGCCGGATGTCCTCTATGGTGAGTCCATACCATTCATCCTGCCAACACCAAGCCTGCCGGTGAGCCCTTACCATCACCTTCCGTAAGCCTGGGGGAAACCAAAGCCAACCATCATCAACCAACTGACAGGGATTCATATTCAGACATGCTCTTTTCCCTTTCATGCCTCTCCACCCTACTCTCAGTGATTTACGTTGTCCACTCAGGTGGCTTTTGGGCAGAATGGGAATGAATATATCTATAAATATGAAACACTCTATCCACCTCCTTGTCCTATTTCAATTCACGTTCATTTCCCACTACTTTGGTACGAAACTTCCATGTTTTCCTCCCTATGCAGATATAAATCCTTTCTCCTGAAATTCTGGACCCTGGGAGAGAATTTGTGATGCTTCTGTAAGCCGTGAAGGTAGCTAAGGACACCTTGGGAAGGTGTACCTGTCTCCTACAGATGAGCTGGAGCTCCATTTAGGGGCCTCGTTTTCTGAGGAATGTATCTTCCGTCTAGGCAGGAGCTCACTGGACTTGTTCATTTGGAGGAAGTGTTTTGTCCTGGGCCTGCAGACCACATCTTGAGCCAGTTTATGCAGATTCCACTGGAGAATCCGCTGGGGGATGCCTCTCATCCAGCCTTCCAGATGTGTGGACCAATTCCCAGAATTCTAGGAACACCAGCTGGAGAATTCTGGAAGTGGAAGTGCTCACCTCCATGTGGAGGGTACCCAAGTTGGGTTAAGCTGCTCTATCCTGGTAAGAGGAACTATATGTAGTGCTTCCTACAATTCTTCTGGTTCTTCAGTCTTTGAGAACTCTCTCTCCCAAACTGGATCCTCCAGGTGTGTCAAGACGACAACTCCCACATTCTATGAACCTCAACACATCTGGAGGATCCCAGGTTAAAGCAGGCTGTCCTGGAATGGCTGCCTCAGGGGGAGGGAGGCAGAACCAGGAGCACCCTGAAAGAACGGTGCTCAGGGTGGAGACCCTGGAATCAGAGACTCACCGACGTCATGAATGAAGCGCTCAATTTTGGACTGCATTCCCCAGTAACGGAACTCCACTTTACACAGTTTATAGGCACACATGATAGGACACTTCCCGGGGTTATTCTTGTGCTCTTTGATCCAGTCTTCTGGCAGAGGGCCCCTGGCTGTCTTTGCCGATTTAAACACCTTTGGGTCTTCCTCTGATTTGTATTCATGGGGTGGGACGGAGTCTTTAACAATATCGATAGGATCTAATGCAGGGAAAATACATACAGTAAATATATACAAGCCACAGGAAGTTGTTCTTCAAGAACCCTTTCCTGAAGTTTGGTTTCGTTTAGATAACCACAGAAACAGCATGACCATCTCCGCCTCTTTCTATTTAGACAAGAAGAGCTGGTGTTTAAACAGTTTATTCAAGTTGGCCAGAAGCTGGGTAGCCTTGATTTCCTCTGGAGAAGCCAGAAAGAGCATCTCTCTCCTTCTACATTTCGGGGGAAGCTCTCTTGATTGTCACATCTCTCTAAAGGACACCATATTCTAGCAGTCTTAGCACAACGGAGATGGCTCTGACAACGTCAACAGTCCGCTGACTCATACGCTTGCAGAAAACAGAGATTTTCCAGCTAGAAAAGGTCTCCTCGTCTATCTTTTGGGCCAAATGGGAAACAGGAGGGGGCAATTCAAGTCCTGCTACAACTCTCACAATTTTCTGCAGTCGTCCACGTGAATTATTCATTTTGCTGAGGCCTGGAGAATGCCAACCGCAGCTGAAATCTAGGAATTGGGAACACAGAAATGGGCTTTGTACCAAGTTACACCAATCCATCTTCCAGTTGAGGATGGTCTCTATACACATCAGCTCCCAAAGTTTTCAAACCCATGTGACTGATATTGGTATTTTAATCTGAGCCCCACCTCAAGATGGAAGAAGTTGAGCTAGCTTCTCCAAAAGTCTTCGTGCGTTTTAAGTCTCTAAAATGTAAAATGGCACTAAGACTTTTGGGACATCCTGTATATGCAAAAATTGTGCCATACCACTGAAGGGAAGCTCCTCCATTTGGAAGCAAGATTTGGGCCTGGATTTTAATATCTGAAGTCTTACCTTCTTATTAGATTAGGTTAGGGAGAAGCAGGCAGGGTTGACTGACAGGGCACAGTCCTTCTCAAATAACCCCATCCATGCCATTAAAACTGTCCACATCACCACAAACGTGTCATTAGCTGGAAAGGCCACAGTGAGGCTATGAGTATTTTTGCTGCAACTGGTCATTGCTGACATCTGGTAGCCGAAATGTTCTACCTTTTTTAGTTTGGGCAGGAGGGAGAGTATAGAGGAGAGAAGAAATGTAGTAGAACTAATTTAACAGCTCTCTTAAAATAAGCCTGCATCTCAGAACTGATGTCAGGGGACATTTAAATTTCAGGTTAAAAAACGTTCTAGCATCTCCATTAAATGTTCTTGGGAGAATTAAGTGGTCTATGAATTCCAGGCACACATGCATTGAATTCCTCGTTCCGGCGTGGGATGAGAAAGGAGTTCTGGAAAAACCCTTAACAACCAACACCACTAGGTCTCACGAACTCTAGGATTTGAGCCCTCCACCTTGCAGGACCCAGGTTCAAATCCTACCCCCCCCCCCCTTTTCATCATAAAGGACTGAATGTCACTCAGGTCTCAACGATGTGATTAGCACTCATGCATGGTTACTGCAAACAACTTGTATGGCCTCGCGTCCTTTGATTCTGACCTTGCCAGCGTCAGCCCTTACAGATTCATTACTGCGCTGGTGTTAATTGGGTGTGGTTTATAATGAGAAAGAGTAACTCTCTAACCTAGTTCCAGAGATTTGGCTAACCTGCTTTGGTGACATGAGAAGAAGGCAAACTCCACCCTCTCCACTGCAGGTGTGTCTATGGAGAACGTGATGCTCTCCTGCCCCAAATGTCCACCAGCGTTCACCAAGAACACTCTACCCGTGCAATGCTGGTTTCTCCCCTCCCCTTAAAGAAAAGGAGGGGGAGGTGACGATTGTCAAAATAATCATGTCGAGTTCTGGATGCCAGCAATGCTTGGGGTTCCTCACCACCTGTGATACCACCCCAGCTAAGGGGTGGGATCCTGAATGATGAATTTAGATGGTGAGTAAGGACATCTGGACTGTTCAAAGAGGAGGGGAACCATTCTTCCAGGAGTCTACGAGCTCTTCCTTGAGCCGGGATGTAGAAACTTAGTTCTTTGCCCTTCTGCACAAAAGCTTAAAGGGCTGAGATGCAATTCCAGAAGTACCGGAAGGGCTGGTTAATCCCTAAGCAAAATAAGCCAAAGACAGATGCTGGAAGAGCCAAAAGGTTTGGCCAGGGAGTAGACAGTCCTCGGCCAGCAAGCACTGGGGTGGGAACAACCTGTGCGTGTGAGGAAGGAATCTGCCGTCCCTGGCAAGAACAAACGTGCGAATCGGGTGCCCTAGGCATGTAAATGCAGGCTAGCTTTGCTTTCTGGGTAGTCCTGGGTCCATTCTCAAGAAAGAAACCACAGATATCCCCCAACACCAAAGTCATTTTCTAGCAGGAATGCTCCTTCACAGCTAGTAATTATATCTGAATAATGCAACAGAGAATGCCCTTGTTTTGTCGATATTTGCATGTGAAGGCTGACCGTGCAGACACCTTTCCTTGAGACTCTGAAGGCCTCGCATTTGCAAACACATTGAAATAACCACAACTTTCTCTGGGAGATCTGAGTTACTTTTTAAAGGCCCAAGACTGCCCTTTCCGCCTCCAAGATCTGCAGAGAGCTTTCCTGGGAATGTCATGGGAATTAATAAAACACCTATATTTAGCCTTAAATAGGAAGGAAGGAAGGAAGGAAGGAAGGAAGGAAGGAAGGAAGGAAGGAAGGAAGGAAGGAAGGAA